AGCTTTCCGGGTAGAGTTAACCCAGGCTCCAAGCTGGTCAACGTTTAGCCAAGAACAGAACAATAATGGAAGGGCCTTGTTGTCTTTCTAGGTAGAACAGATCCTGAAAAAAGATGCAGAAACAAACAGACCAAGTCAGTGAGCAGGCTGGTTTGACAAGAGTTGGAGAACAGTAAAGAATCTCAAGGAAGTTAAATAGAAAACAGTTGCTATCCTTAACCCTTCAGTATCCAGAAAAGCTGCAACATGCTTCCAGTGCTAAATTAGAAAATGCTATCAGTGAAGACCAGCCCTGGTTACCCAATGGCACAGAAAGACTGTACACATGCATGCATGTGCGCACACACACACACACACACACACACACACACAGACACACACACACAATCCTAGAATCCTAGCAATGTCACATCTGATATGGATAAAAACAGCTTCCCAATACTTGATACAGACTCAAGAAACTAACATTCCTTTTTTAGTGAAGGTATTTTGACTACTTTCTCAGAAGCGATAGTCCCTAACATTCTCTGCTGTGGATTCCTGTCCCAGATTGTGTATGTCTTGAGGAGGCTACATCCAGTCCCTGTTTTCAGTGTCCTGTGGCTCAGAGATGGGTCTCCTGGAAGCCCTTCACAAATCACTGCAGGTGGCCAATCCACAAGCTCCCTGAGCTCTGTCGCATATACTCCAGAGCACAGCATGTCTGTGGACTTCTATGGGATGGAGAGAGGCTGCTGATGCGTTCTTGGACAAGGTGAGCGACATAGATACAGTGGACTTTTCTTGGGACTGTAAGATTTCTCCATTTCAAAAAGGGATTTGTGTCAATATGTTTGTTTTTTCTGCTCTAACAGACATACTATGAAACCCAATGAACTGACATTTCCAAAGATGCTGGGTTCCTATTATGGGAAGCCACTGTCATAAAGTACCGCTGGTTCATTCAACATGACACAGTAAAACACTACTTCCCATAATAAGTTTAAATCAACATTAGGTGATGTGGTGGTACTACATAAATCATTGAAACGATGTGTCATTCAGATAATATTTCAAAATAAAAATGAGCCTCATCAAATTGAGAGAACTTGCATTTACTTGATTTTATGATGGCAAAGATCAAAGAACCTGATGCTAACTGGATAGATGTGGTGGACCTTTCCTGACTTCTGACAGTGACTCAGCCCATTTTATTAACAAGCTAAAGCCAAGTAAATGATGAATCAGTGCTCGCAAAGCAGGAAAAAATGCGTTTCCCACTAAAAATCGCAAAGTGTGATAAACCTATTTCCGTTAAGAAAACTGCTGGAGTTTTTACTGGGGGATTTCCCAGGCAAACAGAGGCAAAGATATATAAACCAAAAGTGGAAGGTAAGCACATTTCCTTGTAGTGTTTTTATGCTGCACACTAATGCAAACACAGTGCATAATTCAAGGCTGTTTGATGTCACCCTCCTCCCCAAACCTGATCGGAAGAGATAACCCTCCATCTCCTTGCCCAGTCCAGTTGGCCTGGCAAAGGAATGAGCCACATATCCACTGGGAAGAGGAGAGCACAAGGCAGAGCCACAGGTGTAAGGTCTCCTTCATCACCCAGCCATATAAAGTACTGTTACCTTCTTCCCCTGCCTCTCCTTTTTACCTTCCATGATGACCACATTATCAACCACTATCATTACTTAACAACCCCCCGGCTTCTAAACCTCAATCTCCCAGCCATGCCAAGGTTGCCTGTCTTCACACTATGCCACATGCTGGGTGCCTCACCTGCTATGGTTCACTTAATCTTAATTCCCAATGGGGTGCAAGCAGAGGTTCAAAAGAGTGAAGGAGTACCACATTCCCTACGTGGTGCTCTTGATGAGAAGGAATGTGTCTGCTGAAGAGGAAAAGAGCAGGTGAGTCCCAACTCTGGAGCATTCTGCAAAATAAATGTCCTGAGTCTTCAGAAATTGTCAATGTCATGAAAGACGATGACGATGATGATGGTAACTTTTTAAAAACTTGGGAACTTCATTAGATTCAAGAAGATTAACAAGAAATGAGAACTGTGATCTTATTAAATCCTGGATCAAAAGAAAGGATAGAAAAAAAAGAAACTGGCTATAAAGAACGTTATTTATACAATCGAGGAAATTTCAGTATTGACTGCATGTTAGATAATGCTTATTGATGTTAAATTTCCGGAGCGAGATAATTACATTGTGATTATGCAGGAGGATGTCCTTCTTAGGAGATCTTTCTTGAAGTAATTAGGGTTAAAGCTCAGTGATATTCACAACTCTCTCTCAGAGGGTTTGAAGACAATAGGCAAACAGGCAAACAAAGGATCTCTCAAGTCAGAGAAAGAAAGAAGGCTGCAAAATATCAACAGTGGGTGAATGTGGATGCAGGGTGTATGGGTGTTCACTGGACATTTCTTGTAGTTGTTTTATATGTTACAAGCTTTCAAAAGAGGAAATTGAAAAAAAATTATAAACTAATATGAAATGTTAAAAACAAAGAAACCCAAGCAACAGGAGCACCTAAGCGACACATTAAAACAATCAGCCACCGTTGGAGGTGGGTGAATGTGGATGCAGGGTGTATGGGTGTTCACTGGACTATTCTTGTAGTTGTTTTATATGTTACAAGCTTTCAAAAGAGGAAATTGAAAAAAATTATAAACTAATATGAAATGTTAAAAACAAACAAAGAAACCCAAGCAACAGGAGCACCTAAGTGACACATTAAAACAATCAGCCACCGTTGGAGGTGGGCTTCAAACATCAGGTATTTGGTTGTTGTTAACTCCAGTCAGGGCTAAAATCTTTTTTCTATCTTTATTGTTTTAGAAGCTGTGTGCAGAAAGAAGACACTCAGATTGCTTGTCTCTTGTATTCTTGTAAACAGAATATTGATAAGAAGATGGGACGAAGAAGAGGACTCAAGTGATGGTTTCTTAGCTTCATGACCCTGTGGAATATGATTCTTGGCCAGGCAGAAGAAAATGAGAGGATGAGGAACCCATGGCTAATATCACTTAAGACCCAACTGGAAACTTAACAAAATGCTGAAGTGAATAAGCTCATCTTAACCTTTAGAAATACATCAGATACCTGGCAGGACTGTCCATCCCAGTGTCCATGAACTTAAGAGATGGTTACTACTTGCACGGTTCTGTCAGCAGCCTGGGTGGGGAGGCTGGGAGGTGTTTGCACTTGACTACATAGCAGAACAGTTAAGAGAAGTCTAACATCTTCTGATCCATATATCTGATTGACTATTAGATACATCCACACGGACATTTTACAGCCACCTAAAACTCCAACCCTAAAGTCCATTTATTACCTATTCTTTCTCTCCCACTCCTCCCCCTACTAGAAAAACACTCCCTTCTCCTGTGTTAATGACATACCTTTCCATTTGTACCTAGAGGTGTAACTCACAGGTGAATTTGGCCCTTCCTTTTTATTCCATATATGTATAATTAGCAATTCTCATAAATAATAACCCTTGGATAAAATCTCCATCCTTACCACTTCACCTTAATTCAAGTCCTCATACTACTCATAAGGACTCCTACAATAACCTCTTTCTTATTTTCCCTACCTCCTGTCCCTGTTCCCAACCTCAATGACTCTGCCACCTTGTCACCTGAGTTCCTTCATTATAATGACAATCTGATGTGTCTCTCCTCATAAATGGGCTATAATGGTTCTTCACTTTTAGTAAGAGGTAAACCCCTTGGCATGAAATGTATGGTTCTACACAGGCCAGCCCACTCTGACCTGACTTCATCAGTCCTGTCTGCTCTGGATGATGTTCCCTGAACTTACTGGGACCTCCTTCCCTGTGTGTCCTTGTCCCTCTCAAGTCTTATATGTGTTCCTCTGGTGAGCCTTGATGCTGCTCCCCATTTATCCATTAAGAAAGTCTTAATCTTCCTTCTAAATCTAGATAACGCTTTCTTCCCCTCCCTCCCTGAGACAGAATTAGGGACGTTCTCTCTTGGCTCCTGTGGCATCTTGATTATGATTACATCATTTATCCAAATAGAATTACTATACTTTGTTTATGTGTCTTTCTTCACCCACTAAATCTTAAGGGCAGCACCATGTTTTAACAACCTCAGCATCTACAGCATCCGGAACAGTGTCCAACCAGAGTACTTGATAGATTTATTAAATGAACAGATATATTAGTAATAAGTGAAAAGTAGGAATAAGTAAAAAATATATATTAGTTTATATTAAATTTAAAAACACATATTTAAAAACTCACAGACCAGGCCAACTCCAATGAAACCACAAATTGCTGGTTGAAAATTCAAGATTGAAAAACTTTCACTTCTGCTGCCCATTCAACCCATTATTTTGTTCTGAGACTCTAGGATTGCTCAGGGCTCCCCACAGGGACTTTATTCCTCCGTGGGTGTCTGGTACAAGCCCTACAGTCAGTTCAAGCCTGCTGACACGTGGGAGGATAATAAAGGGAGCCATGTGCTGCCCACCACACTAGAAGGTTGGGCAGTCCAAAGACAGACCGAAATGTCAAAATTTAAAACTTTTCTCCCCAAAACTCTTTATGAGAGTGGTATCAACAGAGAGCATTCAGTGAACAGCCCCTTGCTGGTCTCCTCTACAAAATCCTGAATCCTTTGATGCTATACTCTCAAGCTAATGTTAATCTATGAGTGGAGGGCACCATCTTGCATCTGGAGAGCTTTTACACCTGTGGGGACACTGCTGAGTCCCTGATACAGACTGAGGGAAGGTGGAGAAGATGCACATTCGGATGCATTTTCCCAGCAGACACTTTAGCTGGCGACCCTACCCCCCCACACACCTCCATATCCCACAGAAACTAAAACAGATCCTGGGATATTTGATCCACATGCTCTGCACGTGCACTTTCAATATTTCACCTTTGGATCCCTCGACCCACCGATGGATTATTAATAAAATTCAGCGGTGTCAAAGAATTTCTGGGCCTGTTAAAAGGGAGACAGATGGCCTTACCTCTCGGCTCCTGCATCCACAGCTGTGAGTGGAGGTAGCTGGGAGGCAGGGGTGTGAGGGCTCCCCTGCACATTCTGTCCCGGAGAAGGGTGACCGACAGTATGTGGGGGTGGCACGGCCCCAGCAGCTGTTCCGCTTCGGCTTGAGTGATTGCTGGAGAAGATGGAAGCTGGAATCAAGGAGAACAAGCATCAAACCACATGTGCTTTACACACCGAAGGCTGTTAGAGAGCATGGCTTAGGGGCTCGTTTGTCCTTCTCTCGGTGGCTTTCAGGGAACAGTGCTTTGTTTACTGGATATACACAGCTTTTGATTTCAGGGGGAACAGGATCCCTGGCTAACATACCTTTCCCACTACTCACTCATACTATGCTCAGGTTTGGCTCATTCCCTGTCTGGACACTAAACAAGTAGTCAATCCTGTATGTCTGCCTCTGGGCAAAGGTCTCTGTACAAGCACTGTTCCGTCACAGAGGACAAGAGGTAAGAGAATATTTGGTCTGCTGACCCCAAGGGGAAGAACACAGGCCGTGTGCCTCTTCTTGTGGATGCAGCGAGTCTCCGCAGGTCAGGCTGGCTCTCTCTGTCACCCCTAAATCGGGGTAAGGAGGTTCTCCTGGTCCTAAGCACAAGGGCAGGATCGGATACCCTCTTAACCTCAGAGTCTAACTGAACCCAGGCATTTCCCTGATGGTGTGATAAATGGACACTTAGTCTCCATCAGTGAGGAGTCCATGCCCGGCACCACAAAACATGAAAAGGGGCTTCAAACACAGCTCCAGAACCCCCCCGCACCCAGGCCTCGACTTGTCTATTACGACACAGAGACTGAGTTACAGCCTCATTTGGAGGGGCAGCCTAGCCTTTGAGAACTGTACGTGACCTCAAACTTAAATATGTGCCCATTTAGATCAGCTAATTGGTACGATGTCACAAAAGAGACGAGGCTTGTCACTTTTAGAGTATCACTATCAGAGAGGCTCTCAGTGTCTAGGACCTACTCAGCAGACATCTCATTATGCTGCAATCATACCAGCATCATTACGCTGACTCTCTTCAACTTCCTTCTCTACACAAAGCTATGCTGAGCTTTATACCCATCTCTGCTCTTTCTGAACTTACTCTACTGATGTCAAAGAATAAATGGTTCTAAAAAAAAAATAAAAGAAATCAGGTTCAGGATTAAGAAGCAGCAGCCACAAAATCAAAGCGATGTGAAGGTTTAAAAGTTCAGGGAGCGCTACTTTTAGACCAGTACCACTTTCCTCCAACCTCTCCAGGAGAGAATGAACACCCCAGATGACCCAGCCCCCAAAAGCTTAATCCAATGGAATGAGAGTTCAAGTACTTAAAGGAACATGTGAGGAAGTGGAATTACCATCTTCCCGCTCAAAAGCGACTGACAAGGGTGTGATCTGATGTGAAAGGTTTATTTCTGGTAAGTCAGCACTGTGTCAGGTTAACTCTTGTCCTCAGAAGCCTGCATCCTCCACAGCCCTCCAAGACCCGAAAAGGTAGGAAGACTAGAAAGTGCTTACTCGCTCAAAAAGGCACTGCAGGGCTCCGGTTGTGTGGCAGCCTCCAGAAAAGTTGCACGTTTGCAAACTTGCTAGAGTCACCTTATGAATCACTACCCTCATTTACGCTCTGCTCGCTCAGGCAACCACAATTCTGCTTGTATTCCAAATAATAATTTTACCCAGGGGAGAAGGCTGTTTAGATTGACTGTGGCAATAGTTTCAATGCTGGTGTTTGTCAGCATGGAGCTTGATGTTTTATACACTATTCCAAAAACTAATGGAATAATAAGAGGTCACAGAGACACTGTGGAAACACAGCTAATTTTTTTTTTTTCCTGCTGGAGTGTAGCAATGTGAGCTCTCCTATTTATTCTGTCACAGTTGCTGAATACGCCCATCACTCACTATCCCCTGGAGGTGGTTTTGTATGTATGTGTAACATGTTCATCACAAGGGATGCAGCCCCTGCCGTTTCCAACCCCGTGGGCAACAGGGACTCTTGGTGTGTGCGCTCTATGCTCTATGCTATGGTTCAATAGAAAATGTGGTGCTTCCCAGCAGTCTCCATTAGCTCTATCAGCTACATTTTTGCATAAGCCACAAAGAAATAATGGGTTGGGAAATTTGGTATTGTTTGCAGCCTGCTACACACTGAAAGGTAGTCCTCGTAAGGGCTTCTCCCTATCCCATTTAACAGCCAGGACCAACTGTGTGTCCATCTATCCATTCATCCATCCACCTGTCCTCCAACCATTATTTTTTAATCCAGTATTTATTAAGTACTTACCACATGCTAGCCCCTCTACTGCATGAGGGTCCCTGCCCTTGAGGAAACTACAGTTTAGTGAGGGGAACAGGCTCCAGATGTCAATTTACCAAAATACTGAGACCTGCTGGTAGACATCATCAAGTGGTGTTCTAACTGCTTCAACATACTGTCTTATCCACGGCCCTAAACTGTGCTAAGCTCTGGCCAAATCAGACAATTGGTCACACCTCAACCACATCATGGCAACTGATGCTACTGTGCTTTTGACTGTAACATCTTCTACCTTCCTCTACTTATTTTAATACTTTTGCTCTGTATGCAGTCACCTGTGTTCCTCTGATTGCTCTCTCAGCAGCCAACTATTCCACACATATCTATGGAGTACGTATGGTGTGGCAGACACTGAGTGAAGTCCTGGGATAGACTAGGGAAGAAGACACCCTTGGAGCCTACTATCTCCAATGGCATCATTCATATTTGTTCAAGTAAATAAGGATGAACACAGTCTAAATGTCAGTGGAGTCCATCTTGGGCTCAATGGGTAGGTAGGACAAGAACAGAAAGAAACATTTATCTACCAAATCCTGTTTTTATTGGTCAGGAGGAAGGTTGCCTTACCTAGGGTGTTACTTTTCTCAGGTAAATAGGCATGTGTTACCAGAGTGGCTAAAGTTCTCATAGATGTCCAACACCATTGGCTGCATTGGAGCAGCCTAGGGGCAGAAAGCCAGAGATTCATGGTACATTTGAGGGGAGGTGCTTCCATGTTACATTTGGTTAACAAATGGTTACCATAGCAATGGCTGCCTGTAGGACTAGGTGGTGAAGAAGGTATGAGGTGGGGTATGAGGTGGGGCATGAGGTGTACGATACAGAGCCGATGGTCTCAGAAACCTGTCCTCCAGCTGTGCTAAGGTCAAGGGCTGACTGACCAACAGTCAAACACATCAACAGCACTTTCTTCCACTGCTAAAGCTGGGGAATGGTACTGAAACAGGCAGCGACCCTTTGCCTGGAACCCCAGGAGAATAAGAAAGGGAATGTGTTGGGTGCAATTTAAAGTCTGAATTTGTAAAGTCTACAGTATAGTTTCTTACATCGGTTGTAAGAAATAACGTGTGTGCAAAACAAAGCCCAAAATGACTGGCGTCTATTTCCTAACAGATGGGTTGAGAAGTGTCGGACAAAAATCTCTCCTGGTGACATAATCTAGCAGAAGCTGATAGTTCAGTGTCTATGAATGGCACTTACATGTAGTCCTGGGCAAGACCATTGCTTGGAGCCACTATAATAACCAAGATTTAGAGGAAATACAAACAGAGCATGGCTTCACAACGTTCATCCAACCCCATTTCACATACCCTTCTGAAATAATGGACAAAACTCTGGGATGAGAGAACTTGGGCTTTGCAGGATTGCTCTTGGCTTCTACCTGAGATCCACATTTCTCAGGGATTGCTCCTGTGGCACAGGAAATACTCTCCTATTTACACTGACTTTTAGGAAAGTTCCACCTGTATCAGTCATACATCCAGGATTCCATCTTAGTGTAGTTTAAGAATATCCATTTGTTCATTCATTCATTCATTCATTCATTCATTCATTCATTCATTCATCCAAACACAATTTTCCAGTCCCTGCCTTCTATGAGGCTGGTGCTGGTCCCTCTTAATGTTTGAAGTTGAATATCTGCTGGCTTCACACTGAGTGCCCAACACAATACATGCTTCCTGACAAACACTCGAGCTTTGCCAACTTTAACCTCCAGAAGAAAACCTCCACATTAGAGTGCAATGGTCAGGTCATTTACAAAAGGAAACATTTCCTTCCATACACACTCAACCAAAGGGGCATGCAACAAGACCTGTGAGTCAAAGTATAAGGAAAAGAACTGATCCCTCTAGAACCAGAGCAATATTAACAAAATTGTTGTGATCAAATCAAATGGTGCATGCAGGCTGCCCATGGGGGTGGCCTTCATTGTCTGGTGTCACCTCTGGGGTGAGTGCCTCATTCAAGGCTAGAAGAGAGCTTCTAGGTGCCCCCCAGATGGCACTGATGACTGGCAGTGAAAACAAGTGGTTAGGCATGGCAGTAGAACATACTGGAAATTCTTAGTGCTTTTGTGATTAAGGGATGGTGGACTCCCCAAGGAAATAAAAGCCTGGTCCTGAGCTGGATTTGTGAGCCTTGCCTTCAGCAGAGAAGCAGGAGCTGGCCTCCCTGCCACTTTGGGTTTTCTCTCTAGAGCACAGCTTACCACAGTTCCCCCCACCAGTCTCCTGCGGACAGAGGCTCGAGGAACTCAGCTGGGCTTCATAATTCTAACAAAGCAGCATATGTTGATCTATGTGCTCCCCAGAGGCCATCTCACCAGCTATTGGGACCAGGGCATTCTAGGCTTGAGCCTTTAACTAGCTCAGGTTAATCTGGGTTAATAAACAGCTCTTTCTCCCTGTCCAAATGAAAAACAATCAATCTATATTTCTGTGGATATAGACAGGGCACCCCCGGGGATACTTTAGCTGTCATGTATTCACTATGTGAATGGAGGCAGGCAAGGAGTGTTCCCGTAGTGAGGCCTACTTATTTCAGGCCCTTTCCCAAGGCCAGAGAAGGCTACCATGGGCTCTGCTTGGCTGTGTTCTTATCATTTTAGAGGAAAGGGAGGAGGACCTCCCTCGTCAGGTGAGGTATATTAAAATAGCCAATTGGAGGGCATATTCCTGTACAAAGCAGTAAGGGCACTTAGAGTCCTGTTTTTCAGGCTTTACCTTGCAAACAGATCACCAGGGACAAGTACTGATTCTGATTCACTAGGTCTTAGGGGCAGGGAGTGCTGAGGTTCTGAACTTCTATCAAACTTCCCCAAGTCCTCT